GGTGGTCACCCTGCTCCGGTCCAGAGGGGTTAAAAACAGCCCTCGGGGGGGGGCGGTGGAGAAAGCAGCTTTTAGGCTGAGCTGATCGGGGGAAGTGGCTGCCGCGGGGGCCACGCCCCAAACAGCCTCAGCTGGCCCTATAAAGGCAGGGAGCCAGGCACAGCCGGGGAGTCTCTCTCTGCTTGTTGAGGGAGAAGGGGCCTGGCTGCTCAGACACGGGGAAAGGTACCTAGAGTGGAGCAGGGCTGGGGAGCCCTGGCCTGGAGACCCCCCAGGCTGCGGCCTTGCTAAAGGCCAGGACAGGTACTGGGGCTACAGAGGGGTATCCTTGGGTAGGCAAAGACAGCAGGTCCAAACCCCGCTTTGCCAGTGATGAATGGCGTGGACACTGCAGTCTGCCCCAGGGAGCGGGGGCTGGATGGGGACTGGCAGTAGCCATATTCTGAGGCAAAGTGGGGATAGTGGGTGGGGGTTCCCCTGGGAGGGGGAGACCCAGAATTGCAGGGGTACTACTGGGGGGGGCAGCACCCAGTTACGGGGGCACCAAGGTCCGGTCGGTCCAGCAGTGACGGCGAGACACCGGGCTGAAGAGGGCGCTCCGGAAGCTGGAGAGCTAATTCCCGGAAGTAACCAGCCGAGGCGCCGCAGGGGTGAGTCTGCGCCAACTTCCACAGACACCGCCCGGAGCAGCTCCCTGGGGCAGAGCGTCCTGAGGGCCCGGGGACAGCCCATGGCTGGGGCCAGCGCAGACATGTCAGCCTGGAGCGAAAGCACCAACATTTAACGGGGGGGGGTGAACCCCGGGAACAGCTCCCCAGAGGGTGCGGCGAAGGCTCCCCCACGGGCCACTGCCAGGAGTCCCCGGGATCTCGCAGGAGCTCAGCCGGGCCCAGCTGGGGACTCGGCTCCGGTCACACGGCACGTCTAAGCGAAATGCTGCGCGATGCAGTGCTTTACTGGAGCCGCTCTCCCGCCGACACGGGGGTCAGGCCGGTGGACTAGTCACCCCCTGAGTGCCGTCCTTGTACCGATACGGGGCTGCAGCGTAGGCCGGAGCGCAGGAAACCAGTATCAGTGCCCGGCACAGCAGCCAGGGTCCTGACGCCCCGTGCTGCTCTAACCACTAGCCCCCGCTGCTTCTCCTAGAGCCCTCGAAGAGCCAGGTCTGGTGCTGCTCCGAGGTCTGTGCCCCGTCCTGGCCCCGCTGGGCTGAGGCGAATCCCTTTCTGGGCAGTGGCAGGGACTGTCTGAGGCTCCGGGAGCTGTAATTACTGGGGGGGGAGGCTAGAAGGCTGATCCTGGGGGGCCGATATTTCACTGCAATCACGTCCCCGCCGAGGATCAGGGTTAATAAAGTTTCCAGGAACGAAATGATTTCTTGCCTTGCACTCTCAGCAATAAAAGCAGACAGCTCCCTCCCCCCAGCCCTGGGCCAGGCCAGAGCCCCATGGAGCCAGGGACGCCAGCGCTCAGGTGGACAGGAGCCTGTGCCCGCTGCTCACCCCGTGGGCATGCCCAGCGCGGCCTCACGCTGTCCGCTGGCACCGAGACTCGGGGGGACGGCGCAGCCGCTCCACCAACCCTCATGCCCAGCACACACACCCCTGCCTGCAGCCCCTGGCAGCGCTCCCTGCCCTCAGCCAGGCCTGGGGCCCATCCCTGCGTGTGTGTGGAGAGTGTCTGGGACACTGCAGTAGTGCCACAGACACACCCACACTGACAAATTCATGGCTGGACACCAGTCTGTCCCCCTGGGTCCGTGCAGCTGAGACGGGGGTTGGCTTCGAACCCCGTGGCTGGTCAGTGGCTGCCGGCAGTCATCTCCCCGGTCATTTCTGTCACCCCTGCCATAGGGTAATATTCGGTTTTTACTTTGTGACTGTGACCCCGTGGGAGGGCTGCTATCCCGTCCAGCCTCTCAGCCTGAAGGGGCCATTGTGGGACAGCACAACATGGTGACTCTGTTAATTGCCCCTTGGACCCACAGAAAGGGCTTGTTCGAATTGTGGCCGAAGGAAATCAAACAGCTGACGAGACCCCCAGGGCCGACCGGGCTTGGCCCTAAGACATTCAGAGCTGACGGAATTACAGCTCTGTCACCGTTCAAAGCCAGGGCCGGTAACTCAGCGCTGTGCCCAGGTTCCCTGCCCCAGGCCTGGCTGCAAGCGCTGCCCTGCTGGGAGAGCTGAGGTGCTCATTGACCGGGCTCTCGGCTCTGGGGCCAGCGCTCGCTCTGTCCCGCCGGGCAGGGGGACGGGAGCGGACTCCGGAGTCAGACTGGTGCAGGCTTCAGGCGCTCACACGTCTCCCTGGGTTGGTGCAATCTGAACCGAGACCATCCCACCAGCCTGGGGTGTCTGTGAGCTAGGCACCCACGTGGTGCCAGGGTGACAGGGGCTGTGTTTGGGGGAGGGGTGGGTGGATGGATGGATGGGGAGAGGGCTCTGTCTGAGAATGGGTGGGTGGGTAGGGTGTGTGTCGGGGGTGGGAGGTGTGGGGGTGTGTGTCTGTGACAGGATGGATGGGGAGGGCATCAGGGGGTGTATCTGGGGGGTGGGGGTGACAGAATGGATAGGTGGGTAGGGGTGTGTCTGGGGTTAGGGGTGTGATAGGATGGACGGCCAGGTGTGTGTGTGTGGGGTGGGGGGTGACGAGGA